TGTTTGAGTCGGCTCCCGGCGAGCCCGAGTTCATTGCAGTGTTAGTATGAACTGGCACTTGGGTTGGAAAGGCTGAAAACAGAGGGGGCCAAGAGGATTCGACTCCTCTGATTCAGTTCTGACTAACCCGCTGCCGGAAAAACACTACTCGGAGGATAATCTCAGGAATTTTCCTTCAAAGGCTCTCAATTAAGCATCTTTCCCAAATCTTAGACACAAACAGTGGCATGCTTGATTTTCCTGTTAAATATAAGAGGAGGAAGAGATAGCAACTCTTTTCATTAATGACTCCTGCTGGAGAGGACTCGGGAGCAGTCACCTCCTGCCAGCAGCTGCCTCGTTCTTCGTTAGCTCAGCGCCGAGAGCCGTGTGGGGATACAGCAACACGCTACATCCCTTTTGAACAGGCGCCACGTGGCTGACTTCAGCTCTGATGTAACCAGCAATGTCAACAAATCTCTCTGCAGATTGAAGCACTTGGAGTGTAAGGGCCACACGAGAGTCCTCCTAAGTCTATCATCTCCAGCGTTTCTCAAATACCATCTGTGATCCCTCTCTTGGGTGAGAAAAGCTTTTTCATCCAAGCCATTAAAGCTGCCTGGCAAAGGCAAGTGGGACTCATATCCCTGGATTTGGCAAGGTGGACTTTCTGAAATGATTCCCAGCTGCTGGATCTTTCCAAAAAAAGTGCACAATAGCAGCAGACAATGCTAAAAGTAGATGCAGGAAGCCATTAGTCCTCAGCTGGCTGCTACCACAGGTGTCAGCAGCGATACTGTACTAGAAAGTGCATTACATGGACAGGAATCCTTATCCACCCTCCCTACGGCTTTAATGCTGGAGGCAGCACAAAGCAGAAAATCCCGAAAGCAAAATGGGGAATAAATGCTCTTGAGGAAGCTGGATTGTCGCAGGCATTGTGGTGTGGTCATAAGGACACCCCGAATCCCAGGGGCAGAGCAGAGGTGTCCAGAGCAGCACAGCCAACCAGTCAGAAACACACACCAGGTTCCGACCATGACTCACCACCTCACACGGCTCTGGGCTGATCACCCAAGCCTGGGACCAACATTTAGAAAAACCTAACTCCCCATATCAAGTATTTTAAAGTGCTTCTTAAGACTAGCTTGATGCACTTCGGAGGATGCTCCCTCAGTGTCTGCTGAAGATGAAGCTCCTTTCTGGTACGTCAAGAGGGCCATAATGGGAGCAGGAACCATCCATTCCAAACACAGCAAGGAAGGGAGAAAGCACCTATCTGACACTGCCTGAAAAAGATGTCAAACAGGAGCAAGAAATCTGATGGCTACTACTGCTACTACTGCCCAGCAAGAGACCACAGACCTGCATGGGGGCAAAGAAGGGATCTGGAGCCATCCTCATAGGTCAGGAAAAGCTTACGTGGAAAAGATGCCTTTTAGCCTGGTTGAGAGTGAACTCTCAGCAGAGACTGATTTGCACCTGAGGTGCTTGAGATGATGATCTGTGTTCCCCAGGCACCACCTCTGCAAGGAGAGATACTCCAGGAGACCCTGATGGTCATTGCAAAGAAGTCAACATCGATTTGGAAGCAGATTCCTGAGAGAGGAAGGAGCTGTTTAATTAGCATCTCTGCTACCTTCTTGCTGACATTGCGACTGTCCTCTTGCACCACTACGGGAATTGTGCATTTTAGCCCCAGCTGGGAAGATGGATTTGCGGAGTACATTTGCCTTTCTGACCTGAGGACATGCCAGCGCTTGCTACAGTGACAGTCCTGTGCAGGGGGAGCCTCCACACGACCAGCCACAAGCAGAGCCAAAGCCTTCAGACCGCCTTATAAACAAACAAGCACATTTCTAGGGATGGCTAATGAAAACGCTTGCCCAGTCCCAGCACGTGACAGAAGCGTAGCTGTTCATCTTTATCTCCTGTTTGCCACCCAGCCATTAGCTGCTTCTTGTTACCAGCAAGTAGAGGAGGATTAAACTTAGGGACAGACTTTATTTCTCAATGAAACCAGTACTGGAGTCAAAAGCAGCACTCTCAACTTTTCCCCAGTGAACCTTGGTTTCTTATAAATTTATCTAATATCTTTCCATATCATTTCTCATATATCCCATATACAAACATCACTGCAAGGTCCTTGATTCCTGAAGCTCATAACATCAGATTTGGAAAAAGCAGCAGGAGTTACAGGAAATTTTTACAATGAATAAATTAAACAAAACTAAAGGTGTTTGCAAATCTGTTGCAATATTGGCAAACTACTTTGAGACAGAAATAAATGGTAAAAAAAGACTTATGTTAAAGCTATGCTTTTTTTTTCAGAATTAACTGATTTTCTTTTTTTTTTTTTTTTTCCCAGCAGCTAATAGACCTTGAAAAGGAAAGGAAGCAATTTTTGGCTCAGCTAAAACAAAATCATTTGCAATTCACACCACTGCATCCATCCGAGGCTGACTGACTCACAGTTTCACATGTTGTCCAAGCATTCAGCGTTTCACTGAATTAAACGCTCATCCGCACCATGAAGTTTTGAAAGCATCAAAGTGGTGGGAAGCTAAACCTTGTTTTTAGAAGGTTCAGGATGCACTGACTTTGCTGTGCCTGCTGACAGTAACTCAGTGTACAGCCAAGCTGATGCTTGCAGGCAGTGCCAGAGCTACTGTGCTCCCACTGCAGAAACCCTCTGGAGATAACCAGGACGGCCGTTTGTCCTGAATCCATCTGCTGTTACCTGGATTAGCTGCAGGTCCACGGGGACGTGCACAGTCCACGTGGACTCCAGCAGGCGGGTGGAGATCCTCCTGCTCAGGAAATCCCCGGAAGCAATGCCACGAAACACTTACCCCTGCAGCTTCACACACACGGGCTTCTGGTGCGTGCCAGCTCAGTGGCAGCCTTTGAAAGCATCGTCTTGAATGTCCCAAGGGTCCGTGGAGGAACTATACCCTCTGCAAAGCGTCCCTGGTTTTGAAGCCTTTTTTTTTTTTGCTCTCCCAAGGTAAGGAAAGTGTGTGCAGTGGCTGAAGAGGATCACAGCATCTCGAATCCTCTTCAAACTCCTGTTTTTAACTACCCAAATAACTGCATCAGGATGTAAATATTTTTCTTTTTGCTTTTGTGGTACTTTACTGTTTGCATCTGGCTCGCCACCGCTCCACGCCTTCCTCTCCAGGACATTTGCCATTTGCTCTCCTTCTGGGGCGGGAATAGAGATTTTTCAGAGGTCTAGGCACATTCCTGTCCTTCCTTTACCAGGATCTTCCTTTGCCAATTGTTTAGTCTCAGCCCGGGGTTAGAGCTCTGCAAAGTTTTATTGGGATCCAGGGTCTGGACCTGTCACAGATTATCAAACAAATCTCCAAGAAGCTAAAAGTCTGCTCTGTAAGTAGTTGTTCCAGTTTTGGGCTTAGGCTTACAAGCCAAAAACATCTTACTTTTCTTCCCCAGCACAGCCTCAGAAATCCTAACAATTAGGTAATAACAGGAGTTCAAAAGGCCTTCAGGAAGCACCTTAGAGGGCCAGTCCCAGATCCTCGGGCTCCTGTACCAGTTTCCATTCCATCGAGACATGAATCTCCATCACTCCCTGCAGGAGCCAGCCCAGGCCCATGATGTCCTGTGCATCACTCTCTCTTACCTTTCCCGGGCAGCGTCAGTGATTTCTTCACACTTTTGAGCAAGCCACAACCTCCCCCTTGGTCTAATCCAACTCGCACCTCTCCTACCTGATGTGAGGATGGAACCACGGTCTGCTTCTCCACCTGTAAACCTTTCAAGTGTCCTCTCACCCCACATCTGAGGACCACTGGGTGGTACGTGCCCGATGGAGGCAAGCACCCCAGCCGAGCCGTTCTGTGCCCCCTCAGAGGTACAGTATCAGCTGGCCGGCACGCGGATGCCAGAGCAACTAACTTACCAGGGAGCAAAAGTCTGGCCAACAAAACACTAACCTTTCCCTGTAGCAACTTGCTTGGTCATTTCTGAGAATTCCAAAGAAATGACAGGACACTAGTAACAAAGCCTTCACCTACCTGTTTGAGTAACCCACGTGACAAAGGCACACGCCTGTCCCTTCACTGCTGTCACCAACAACATCATGTTCATACCAAAATGAGACTGTCATCACTTTAGGGTAACTGCGATTCTGTGAACTCTGTACTTAAACTGTAATGAGTGAGGTCACTGGTTGTTTCTCAGTTTGAATACAAAGCTCTAATTTTCTCTTTCCTTCAAAAAAGAAGCAGCATAAACAAAGAAACAAAAAAAAATCAAAGAGAATTAGCCACTAACATCGGCAGTATTTCAGTCCTCAATGGGAGCAGAAAGTCAATACAAGTGTTGTCTGAAAGGAACGCAAGACTTTAACCTACGCAGCACATATTTTATCCTGGGTTTTATTCCTGTAGGTCTTTAATTAAGCGTCCACATCAGCTGGACAAACATCATTTCACCAGTCATTAGTTACAGACAGAAACACATTTATAACTCCTTGTTGCATCCTCTCTGTTCAGTTCAATTAGAAGACATTATCGTAAGACCACTGCGTGCTTACCAAGAAGATGTTACTGAGTTCACACAAAATGCCACAGCAGGACGCTTAGGTTTTTTAAAAGCAGACATTAATGGAGAGAAAACAGGACTGAAGGAATTCTCTACCTTTGCTGAAGTTCATCTGTTTCCCGGGATGTTGCCGAAGTTTCCACACCAAATTTCGTTTCTAGTCCCTGTGATACCAGAGAGCAGGCTCTTGCCTTTAAAACTTACCTTTTGATATCAAATTGTAGATATGTTGAAACGTTTTTCCTTGGGAAGGGCAGCTCATAGGCTTTTCCTATCCTGCCCTGTGAGGCACTGCTTGAAAAACAAAGCTCTACCACAGTGGGTAAGATGAGAATATATTTATTAGTTATAAAAGACACAAATGAGCACCATCAGTTTGGTACAATCCTGTAAAAACAAGAGGTTTTGGTGACAGTGGCAGACTTTGCCAGGACGGTGTTGCCCCAGGGATGTTAACCCCAGGGTGCCGCAGCCTCTGCAGAGATGCGCTCCGAGTGATCCTGAGAAAAAGCAGATTTTAGCGACTTGTTGGCATTAGCTGGACATTGATACTCTTTCAGCTTCAAGGGAACATAATGCTGTAGAGAAGCAGCTTTCTGATAACCAGCATGACTGAGGACTTTAATCCAGGAGGGTTTGGCTTGTCCTTTATAGCCAAGCATGGCAAAACTCCCTGAAAAACAGACACAAAGAGAGTAAGCCTCTGGATGGGTCAGTTCACTTACTAGCAGCACAGCACAGACTCCCTCCACACATCATGCAAGCTTCGTAGCCCTTCTTTTCTTTTTCCTTGAATTAAAATAACAGAGCATTTAGGAGAGAACAGGTTGATGAAGGAGGGAATGAGCCTTGCTGAAGCCGTAACCTCGCTGCATCACAGATCTGCAGGTACTCCAATATGCTAAGAGAGGTTCCCAGACGTCAGTTAGCAGGAATACTGTTTTACTTTTTATTTTTGAATAACACTGGTACTTTTTCATATTTGACTACATGAAAACGGTTAGGCACTTTGAATCCTTCTTTTATTAGTTTACAACAGTTTCTTCCTGTTATGCCTAAACTATCCCCCATGTCGACTCTGCTCTGGTCCTCTGCTGTCACAAAGTACAAAGGCATTATGTAGTCTTCCATTTTAATAATAATGTCTTGTGTTTATATTATGCTTTTCATTGCAAAGACTCCCAAGGCTATTTGCAGCTGGTTGGATTGAGACTATTCCTGTAAATACTTCTAATTTAAATAAGGTTTTGCAAAACCAGGCAGCAAGATCCTAAATCTCGATCCTGCTGGGGTCAAGAGGATTTGGTTTCTTTTGCATTATCCCTGGCAGAAGCAATATGTACTTGGGAGAACTGCTCTAGCCTGCCCTGAAACTCAGCCTCCCCCCTCCCTCCGCTCCCCAGCACAGAGCAGTCCTGCGTGCGACCGCTTTTGGAGCTGTGAAGTCAAATAGCGCGCATACCTGAACCAGCGGGAGAAAGCTCATGGGGCAGAACATAATTACCCAGACTGGAAATCAGGGCAGACACGTGGGCGAACACTCTTGCCCTTAGGAAAAGCTAAACAGGGACGGCACATGATGGGCCAACAGCGGCTCCATCCCACCGCCAGGCACCAGCATCCCACCCAAGTGGCAAGCAAGGAGATGGCCACCGACCACCGTGTCCCCAGGACAGTGGTGGCCCTGCTTGCTGCTTTTTTGTGCCAGGACCAGTCAGGGCTGGAGGCTGAATCGAGCTCCCAAGAAGATCTGGATGTGCTGTGCTCAAGTGAGGGGCACAAGTGCTTCAGGGAACAAAGTCTGACAAAACAAACAAAAAAAGATTGCTTTTTAATAAAAAAATTCCTTTCAAAGGTACTTGGCTTTGATGAAAGAATGAAGAAAAAGCAATGAAGTTTCAGGATAAAATCAAAAAAAGAAGCACTTAAATTTTTACTTTCAAAAGTATTCCTTTCATAAGTATTCAGGGTTTTGATGAAAGAACGAAGCAATGAAGTTTCAGGACAAAAACAAAAAAGAAACCCTCAAATTTTTACTTGTGAAAGAATGAAAGAAAAACAGCTTATTGGGAATCAAACAAGCACTGAAGTGAAATCGGTGTCTCTGCTGTAAAGACTATTCTGTCCTCCCCTGGAACGGTCATAGCAATGAGCTTTGAAACTTGATCCAGAAATTGATAAAAATTTCAGTACAGCAGTAGGGGAAAAAAAGTCCCCAAACTCCCAAGAAAAGAAAAGGAGGTGGAAATACAGCCAATTCTCCATCTGATCTCTGCTTGAGAGACTGTAAATGAAAAGTGAATCAAGCTGGCTGGTTGTTTTCTTGATTTCCTTATCACTCAAATTATTCATCCAAATCTGGACTCAGTAGCCCCCAGTTTTCCAGTAGGAAACCCAGCACAGATTTCCTGGACCAATGATACCAATGGATTTCTTGCAGTAATCCAAGGTAAATCTGTAATAGAAGCTTTCCAAAACTGGTGATTTCACCTTCCTTCTGTCCAAAAAAATAAATAGCTCCTACTTCACGTCAGGCTATTTTCTTTTTCATCAGCCTTTCAGTTTATGATTGTTTTTCCTTGCAAAGCAGTTGAATTCTAGACATGGAATCGATATCAGATTATTATTTTGTTTGTTTGTTTGTTGGAAAAACAAGCTCCTTTTAGGATGAAAAACTTGCAGCATGCAGCTTCTCACTGGTGAGGTAGCGTCAAAGCCCCAGAATTATTCTCCTACTTCTCACCATGCCTATGCCAAGAGGTTTTTACTAGGCTGCACTGGCATATTGTGGTAGGAAATATATTGAAAAGTGCTGTATAAGTATGTGCACATTTTTGGTGGGGAAATGCACCAGTAACTCTTAACCAAAAGAAACGTGGTAAAACAAATACATTTACCTTCCTTGTGGAAGACAATAGGCTTTGCTGAACCTAACCTGGTAAAAACAGACATTTCAGAGCTCCCCTCCACGTCTGCAATATCTCTAGAGCACACGAGAACAAGTGATCTGAAAAGAAGGACGGCAATTACTGCATGACTGCAAAATATTACTTCATTAAGGATTACAAGACCTTCAAGCTCCAATTCAGAAAGGTACTTAAGAGCTTGCTTAACTTTAAGAACATGCTTAAATCCCTTTGATTTCAATCACATGTAAGCTTTCCTAAGTTTAAGTCTCTATTTAAATGCTCCTAAATTAAATCCATGCTTCACACGGAATCAAAACAAGCAAATGCATCCCTTATGGGAAGATGACAGTCAATCATGGAAGAAATTCAGTTGCTGTGCAGTCCTGAGACTATAACACCATCTATATCCTGAGTCTGATTCTCAGTCAAGCTTTAGCCTGGACTTTGGTCCTCCCAGATGTGCTTTCAGGAGCCAGTGAATTGTATCTGCAACAAATCACAGGTTGAACAACTATCTGCATGTAGCTGAACACCTGGACTTGTGAAATACATAATCCCCCTGCAAATCAAATCAAATGTACAGGCATCAGATGGACAGATGTTACTTCATGCACATTTGATACACATATATACTTATGTGCATAAATACAGATGTAATAACTCAAGAGTGTTCAAAACGTTGGTCATGAACTGCTCAGAAATGTCTTGGACTGAAAGTCTGTTTTCTGGTTATTTGACCTGCTTCCGCCAGCAGCCAAGAATTTATCTGTAAATCTCTGTTGTTCCATGTTTATGTGGCGACGCATAAAACCACAAAGAACGTGGGACAGACACAAACAGAGATGATCCAGACCATTGCCAGGACACATGCAAGGTAACGGAGCCCACAGGCAGGCAGGTCAATTCTTGCCCAAGAAAGTCTCACTGGAAAATCTGGCACAGCTCTGATTTTCATCTGTCACAAGATGTGAAAACAATCAGTAAGAGTAAACAGAAAACAGCTCATTTCAGAAATGGAAAACTGAATCACTGGCTGCCAGGAAATTGCTGGACACTGGGATAGGTGCACAGGATCGCAAATGTCACTGCAGGGACTTTATCTACTCCGTGCTGGAAAATGAATGGTTAATTCAGAAGGAATTGCCAGTTTTCCAGAAAACCTGTTTCTGTCTGCTCTAATCTGTGCAACCCTGGGAGAAAGACATTGCTACTCTTGGGTGATATTTGGGATTTGTACCTATTTAATCAATGCCAGATTTCCTTAGAACACAGGTTTGGTTATGAAAATATGCCATTTTTCTTTCTTTGTCTATCAGCCACAGGTTGCTACATGAATTGGGCCCTCTGCAGCTTACTTACCTCTCTTTTATAAACGTTTCAACATAATCTGTTATTGCACTGGCAGCGTTTTCACCAGTAACTGCGTCGAAGTGTCTCCTACTCACGATTGCTCCTGAGCATGCATCTAGTACCACAAAGAAAATCCCACGGCTACCAAAGAGGAAAACTGTGTCATTTATCTGCAAGAAAAAAACAGAGGTAGCTTTTATGAAGGCAGGCTGGGGAGCTCCAGACTCTGATCCTGCTTCTCTATAAGCAAGTTACAAGCAAGGAAAATATCAAGGGTATTCACCCTATAATTTTAAATACTTAATTAGTACAGATGAATTGACATCACTGATAGATGCTCAGTGGCAGGAGGAAGGAAAACCATTAGTTCTCAATGGGGTACAAAAGCATGCAAAATGAGGTCATCAGCATCTTTTGTGTATTAGGAAGATACATTTGGGAAGTTGAGAATCCTGGGAGTAAAATGCTTAGTTCAGTCCTGATACAGTTTCTTTCCACGTCAGTGAACTTACTGTCACTTGGCAAAGCATTTTTGACCACAGAGCAAGGGAGAGCTGCTGAGACAGCAGATGGAGTGGACAGAGGCGACACATGGGCTTTTTTTGTTTTCCCTGGAAATGTAAATAACAAAACCAAAAAATTCCTTCTTAGTAGGGCTGCCCCAGTACCTCCAACATGTTGTAGCACAAATGGCTCCTACTCTCCTCCTGATTCCTCCACCAAGGGCTCCTTCCCCAGGTTACATCTATGCCACAATATTTGCTTTTAGAAAGGCAAAGGCTCTCTGAGGTGCCCAGCACTGGTGCATCACCCCAGCATCCCAAGGAACAGCCCAGCCTGGAAGGACACAACCCCCACCAAGGAGAACAGCAGCGCACCCAGCTCAGGCTGTCAGAAAGTGGAGCCCAGGATATACAACATGCCACTGGAATCCACACAGTCGTCCAAGGCCCACAGGCTCCAGGGAGCTTCGATACATCACACTCATCTGAGACATGTGAATGCCTCCAGGGAATACAGGGCCAGACTGAACGAGGGAGTCAAGTGCTAAAAAGTGGCTTCTGCAAAATGTCAGAGGATGTTGAATGCAATAGAGAGGCAAGGGTAAGGGAAACATGAACGTCTGGGCCATGGGTGGGGAGAGGGGAGTGAGGAGGAGCAAAGACAGACTAAATCTGTTGCCTGGTCCTGGCTGTCACACTCCTAAACCTGGGAAGTGTGTTAAAGCCTGGATGCACACGGAACAGAAAGCAACCACCACTGCAAACTGACCCGAATGGAGCTGCTGGCAAAAGGAGCAGCTCTGCTGCATGCCTTGCCCCTGCCCTGGTGCTGGGGACCTACCAAGGAGCCAGCATGGGGGCTCTCATGGCCCCTACTCGGTCCTCAGGGAAGCCTGGATCATAGATTTAAAATGTTTCTAACTTTTGCCTTTCATGCAGCAAAGAAAGAATAAAACAGATGCTTTGGCAGTGGGGGTTCCTCTACTTTCCTTCTTTATTTTCTTGTTTCCCATACCTTTTAAGATTCAGGGTAAGAATCCTCCTTTAGACCTTCAGTATCATTTGCCTAGCCCAGTCTTTACTTCAGCTAGGAGTACATATGCCAGAAATAAAAATTCCCTTGAAAAACAATGCTTGGCATTAAAGCTTTAGAAAAGGCAAAGAAGCTCTGAGGATACTAAGCCTGTCCCAGGAGTGCTGCACACACACAGGTCTCTGTTCTTCAGCACAGGTGAGGATACTGCTTTCAGTGACACCTGCCTCCTAATGGTTCTGAATAAATTTTTAATGATGCAGTCAGTACACAGGGCAAGAAATCTCGGCTGATCAGACTCCTTAAGGATGCTCTATAAGTTTTGCTTGGAATTTGTTAGCACTAACTATAGCTCAGTAGCACACAAGCAGGTAAGCCTGGACAGTGTCCTCGCGAGCATGATTTCAGTCACCTTTCACCATCTAGACAGACATATAAGACATGTGCAGGGACAACCTGACAGCTCCAAACCCCTTCAGCAGTGAAATACAGTTATTTTTATCTTTTACTGCAAGGCCAGCAGGGAAAATCAGAAAAACAAACTTGTTTTTATTCCCCACATCCTTTGTAAACAATGACTTCTGGTGTGCTTTCCTCCACTTCCTCTACATTAGAGTGGTGGTGTTAATTCTTCTTCTGAGGTGATAGAGGGCCTTTTTTTTCCCTAAGGGCTCAAATCCTCATCTGAATAGAATAGGAACTCCCAGTGACTTTAAGGGAGTTAATTGTAAGGGAGAACAATGCACTTGCCTGTTCCAGAGAACTTCCCATTTCCTTCCCTAAGGCTCAGCAAGACTTCACAGTAACTTTCCTTGGAGATAAAGTTTCCCCTGTTTCATCACCATTTCAAATGCAGTAAAACACAACATACCTTAATGAACGCAGACGTCAAGTGGTTTTTTACGTCCGCCTTGCCGAGAGACTGGATCTGGATCCTTATATACCTGACTGAGGGTGTGCTAGTGATAGCAAGCTGCAATCACACCAGAGACAGAAACTTAAAAACTGGCCTGTTAACTGGTTTTCATCCACAAAATGACACCACGTACCAACGCTTAAACTTTTAAGAATTCTTTTTTCAAACGGTGATCCCAGTTCTCAAGTAAATGCTCATTATTAAGACATCGTTTAACAAAGGATTGTGGCAATGCTGGCTGGAACGGACCTCTGATGGTCACCCTGCCATTAAGTAAGTTTAAAAGTTGAATATGAATTTCATATATTTTCCCTGGGTATGAACTCAAGTGCAGATCTGTATGAGCCTGCAACAATTCTGCAGGATTTAGAGTGAGGGGGATTTACAGTAAATGAGGAGAGAATCTGGCTCCAGTTTTCCAGTTACTCCTATTAAATAGAATTACTCCCCAGACCGAAATTCAGCAGCAATGTCATACTTTGGAATTCAAAGCTAATCCAATCTGAGCCCTCTCAAGACCCCTTTTTTCCTTGTTTAAAAGAAACGGGGAAAAAAAGCTGCCATGAATGCGCGTTCACGTGCTTCCAGCTGTGCAATTTCTTTGAGGCTGTCTCTGAAGCACAGTACCAAAAGCTGCTGAAATTCAGACCAAAACCTTTCCCTCTACACCAGTTACGTGATGTTGGGCAGATTCATGAGTGGGAATTCCCTGTGGCTTTTCCTTAGGTGCTGCAAAAATGAATCAACCCTCACGTGGCAGCACATATGGGGCACAACCTCAGACGCTGTCTCGGGGCTGGGTACCTGCGGGGCCCCGCACGGTCCAGGCGGGCGCTGGGACATGGGGCTCTGGGCAGCTGCCGGCCCGGTCCAGGCGGGCGCTGGGACATGGGTCTCTGGGCAGCTGCCGGCCTCTCCAGGAAAGGGTTTGGGTCACAGCTCCAGGAGTCCCCTGGGTACATAGGAGCCGTGATTTTAAGGCGTTCGCAGCCTTGCCGAGAGCAGTAACTGTGTCCTTCCCGAGCTTCACGGGCTTGCAGGTGAACAAAGAGGTACCTGCAAATGAGAGCAAACAGGGGGATCAGAGCCAATGCATGCTTGGAGGACAAGCTGCGTAGAGGCAGGATCCACACTTGCTAAACTGCCTTATCCCTCCCATTTCCCAACACCACGAACCAACTCCGCCACGGTGCAACATGGCACACCCATTGCGAAATGGGTCCTGCGAGGATGCAGGGCAAGCTCCCCTCTCGTCCTGGCATGACCAGACCTGCAGCACTCGCAGCCTGCCCGCCCGCGCTGCCTCCCCCAGGTAAACGTTGTGTGGGGCAGACACCCCCTCCAGCCCCAGCCTCAGCACGGAAAGACCAGCAGCCGTGCTCAGGTGGTTGTGCAGGAGGAAATAGGGTTGCCTGGAACTATCAGCATAGCTCTTCAAGCTCTCAGTGTTGCAAAGTCTTGGCCCACAGGCAGAGCTTAGCCCTAAGCACGCACAACAAAAGCTCTTCTGGCCTTCGGAGTTCGTTTTTCCTTCTGGCTGTTCTAAGTATGTTTTCAGTCATGTCCATGCTGCAATTCAGGCTGAGGAAATTATCTAAACAGCTCAGTTCAGCTCCAGGATCAAAAAGATACGTGAGCTTTGAAGGGATTTTTCATTCTACTTCTTTCAAAACTAAATATTTGTATCTATTTGTCTAGAAGAAAGAATGAGTAAGCTTGGATCCCTTCCAAAGATCCAGCATGTGGGGTTAAATAAAGAAGGGGAAACCATTTTCCTTGCAATTCAGTAGTAAACAACCTGTTTACAGAATTTGGACTATTTTTTTCCCTCTTCAAAAAAAAAAGAAAAGAATAAAAGAGGATTAATCAGCAAATTGTTATTTCACAATTCCTATGATGAGAGAGACCTGGCCATCAGCAAGGAGCCCGGCTGGCAGAGAAGGCATTCTGGGATTCGATTGCTCATGTGTTATGGCTGAATGAATAAATATATCCCATCTTATTTTCAAATCTGGCACTTGTGGATTGATTCCTGAAGTAGCTACTTAGTCAGGTGAAGCATCATGGGACCTATGGTTAGACCACAAAACACTTTTTTCCTCCCTGACTATTTTAGCCGACTGAGAAACACAGTTTCATAATATGTTTTTTTAACCAAAGGTGTCATAGAGTCTTATAAAGATAATGCAGGATCTCTACAACTCTCTTCATGCCTTCAAAATAAGAGATGTACTACGGTGCTCTCCTTTTTTTCCACAAAATATAACTTTTAGAACGTGGTGATTTTAGAAATCTGTCTTCATGGGAACATGACGAAGTTGGTACTTCCCAAAGTAACTCAATGTTGGAGCTGCAGCAGTCATGAAGGGGCTCCTTTTCACAGCCCTTTGGGGTGCAATGGATTTTAACAAATATTTACAGTAATCTGAACAGCAGGGATGCCTCAGAAGAGCTAAGTCCAGTCAAGAAATCAGCCACTTTCATAAGAGCAATGCAAATCGCTACTTGGTCATACAGACATCGACCTACTCCAGATATTCCAGCCTGTAAATCCATTTTGACCCATTTTTTGAAAAAAACATGCCACATGGATAGATCTGACTTTTAGCTCTGAGAAAGGGAAAAGAGGGGCTGGTAAAGAGAAAGACCCGAAGGTTTGCTGCCCCTTCTGGGGTAACACAGGGCTCACCCCGATGGTCTGTCGAAGTAGAAGAGCCGCTCGCCAGTCCCGTTGAGGGGGCTGGCCCGGGAAGGAGCGGCGAGGTAGTGCTTGACACTGTGCACCGTCCCAGTCCGTCGCTGGTAGATATCCGTCACCACCTGGAAAACGGCTTTCCTGGGATAGCAGAGGGCAAGACGCAGCCAGTCTCCTCTGTTGGCACAAAGGGG